TTTGAGTCCCTTCATTAAATTTTCTGTATTTTTTTTCATTATTTTGAAAGATTTCTCAGAAACAAGACTATTGATGCGCAGCCTCGGGATTACAAATTGTGATGATGTATTTAGTTTAGTTACTGCAAATGATAAAAGCACAAGCATCTGCTGGAGATGTAAATAAAGTCAATTACTTTGTTCCATTCTGGTTTTCTGAGCAGTATTGTTGAAAACCAAAACTTCAGTTTTTTCACAACAGTTTTGCTCTTGTTTATCTTATAGGTCCGGTTATTGGGGAGTTTTTGAACCAATTGATGCCTCTTCTCCACAGCTGCCTCCAACCAAACAGAGATACAGAAATGAGGATGAGCATTTTCACCATGCTTGCCAAATTGCTGCTGAATGCAAGCAACACGCTGGATTCCCACGGGTGAGGAAAACACTTTACAAATGCCTAAATTTAAAGAAATTGTTAATGATGCACTAAAATATTTTTCACCCCATCTTCACTTCAAGATTAACACTTTTTTTTCCCAAACTTATGGTTTTACATTTTCATATTTTCACTACATCTACAGATGACCATAATTTGAAATGGACACAAACACAAAACAATGTTCACTTTATTGTCTTCATAACTATGATAGCTTCTTGATTTGACCAGGACATATAAAGCTACAGCTCTTTGTACAGAATGTAAGGGATATCATTTCAACTGGTCTCTGTGGGAGGATCAGATGAGCCTACTCTAATTAATCACTCTCCAGCTTTCCTTAGGAAAACGAAGGCCTTCTTGACAGTAATTTAAATGGCAATCAGTAATTTGAATGGTTATTGACTGATTAAGGAGCCAGGATTGTCCAACACCCAGCCCCTCACCCTCCTCTAAGCCCTCAGCTGTGCAGCCCTCAGCTCCAAGCTCCAGTTTGAGAAAATGCTTTAAACATGAGGCCGTCTCAGTCTCTGTGAACACAACAGCTGCTCCTGTCCATCCAACAGACAAACTTCATCTGTTGCGTTTCCATGGCAATATCTGTACATGCATGCAAACCCTAAAGCTGACTCTAAAATGTTGTTACTTTATATTTCCATTAGTTTATAAAGTCAGAAACTATTAAAAAATTACCACAAAATAATATCCTTGTCAATTATACTGCAAGAGCAATTCTAAAGCCAAAATGTCTTAGAAAAAAAGGGGAACACTGGTAATTATTATTATTTTTTTTTTTATCTTTTTTTTTTTATACATGACTGTCCATAATAGACAAAAGACGTCTGTGTCTTCTGCACCCTTCCTGATGCAGCCACCTGCACTGTTAACTGGTTCTCTCATTCCTAAGTTATAACTCCAGTGACACAATCATCAAGAAACATAAACCGTGTTGTGCCTTCAAAAAAGTTTCAGACAAATACTTAACTCAAACCTAGGGGAGCTGTGTGGTCTGCTACAATATTTCCATTCATTTTCAACCCTCCATTCATAATTTACGATTTGATCTTTGCAGGTAGCAGGCCACACACACAATTTTTCATCAAGAAGACAATGATAGTCATACAGAAATCTTCTAATCTTAGTTGTGCATCCAAAATGACATGACGCCTCAATTTAAAACAAGCTGAAAAGGAAAGTTCGGTACATGTAATTCCCTTTCATCCACACACATGCATAATGTGCTCTTCATGTGGATTTTTGTACTCTGATTAAAAAGCTGGCTATGAAAGTTAAGTACAAGAAGGTTTATTTATTTTTCCTTGGATGTGGCAAACCAAAAATCAAGTGCCACTTACAACAAGATAACAGTGCACTTTCAAGGCTGTATGAACTGCAAACATGTCTGTAATTTCAAGTTTTAGCATTTACCACAAGAAAAAAGACTATTGCGTTCCTCTTATTTCTTTTATGCATTGCTCTAACATAAAACAAGACAAAACAAAGCAAACGCAAACACATATTTATTTATAATTGTCCTGCAATCAGTAACATATTTCAGAAAAATGCTAAAACAAGACATATTTTTATATGATTTTTAAAAAATAACTATTTTTAGGACCTAATCAACCTAAAAAAAATCATTTATCACTTTAAATACATGAAAATATTAAAGTATTAAATTATCTTATTTTATGGATGGTAACTAATTACAATTCATATTTAAACTAACCTAGATGAATAGATTTATGTCATCCATGAGCTTATATACTACACAACAGAGGCTTTAGCAAATCCACTATTTTATCATTTTATGCTACCAGAGTACTTTTTAATTAATTCAAAAACAAATGTTTTTTAACAATTTTGTTGTTTAAATCGACATCAAACTACAACTTGACATGTAGAATACTGAATATATTGAAGCTAAATCAAGACCACCAGACTGATTTTACATCACAAAATTAGTGAAAACTCAATTACAACAGTGATAAGGAGGCTAATATTTTAAGCTGAAGGGTCCTGACAGTGAAGCACAGATGTGGGAGTGTCATGATATGAAGGCAGAAGGTGTTGGTCTGATGACTTCTACAAGAGGTGCTACAGGGCTTGTAAATACTTTACTAATCACTTTACTAATACTACTAAACTTTTAAAATAATGATAATCTGAAACTACCATAAAACTTTCAATATACTTTGTTTGTTTTTATGCTACATTTATTTTCTGTTATAGCTACAGTGTGCAGCTACAGTGTTATAATCAAAACGTCCTGGCACTGTGTGTGTGTGTGTGTGGGATGTGGGGTGTGGGGTGCATGTGTGAGTGCTGCAGTCTACACTTGTCACTGAATCACTTTGCCAAGTCAGATTCCGGTCTTGTTTAACTCATCATTTCCCTCTACTGGTGCTGAAACATTACAGTCAGTTCAGTTTATTTACAGTACTGCATGTATATAGTGCAAGTCACAACATAAGGTTATCTCACGACACTGAACAAAAACATTCATATATATTATTAAATGCCAATTAGTAAAGTTATCTATCTAAAGAAGGAATGAAATGTAAAAGAAATATGCTACAGCACACTATAATAAATATAAAACATTATTAAAAAAAAAAAACTACCAAAAAAAGTTAAATCAGGTCATCTGGACAGATTTGATCTGGTTTAACTTTTTTGTGATTTATTTACCTGGATGATTGAGCTTACATCAGGATTATAAAAAAAGTTGTGTAACTCCATCTGAGGAGAGAAAAGAGAATAAGAGGCAACGTATGGAGCAGTTTGGGTATGAAAATTAATGCAGGTGCTTACAGTCTGATGTCAGAAGGCTTAGGCTAGTGTGGAAAAAGAACGGAAAATGGAAAGAAAGGGATACCCAGATGTTTTTGCCTCCTTTTTTTCTCACTTCCCTTACTGTTCTGCCTTACAAAGAGTGTGGGAAAGGAATGGTATGATAACAGTTGTGCTTCAGCAGTTGTTTAAAAACATCTTTCACATATTAAAACCGTTTTACATGTTGCTATTAACAAATATGCACAACAAAGTCAAGCATGATGACTCATTTTGTGTCCTTGATTTGCTGTTTGTCATTCCAGCCTTTTCCGTGATGAGTCGGAGAAGTTTTTGTGCGATGTCCTGCTTCCTAACCTGGTGTGGCACGCAGGCCGCACCGCAGCCGCTGTTCGCACTTCAGCTCTCAGCTGTCTTTTAGCCCTACTGCACGGAGGGAGCCTCACACCTGGACAGGTGCATACGCACAGAAACACCTTACCCTTGTTGGTCCTTCCTTCATTTCCACCAGTGCTCGGTGACTCAAACACACTGGAATCAGACATCAGATGTGGGTTCTGTCCAGATGAATGTCCTTTTGATCATCAATCTGCAGATCCACTTTTTATTATCCCTAAAGCAGAAGATTGGTTAACATTTATTTCAGATTCTGTTTTATCCATTCCTTGTCCAAACAAATCGTCCCACACAGCTATTTAACAATAAAAAAAAAAAATTAAAAACTGGCCACTATTGTTTAGTGTTTGCTCAGATTTGGCCACGGCAGGTGGACATGGAAGCAGTTGGGTTCACATACCTCATCCCGAAGGAACAATACTGTCTCTGTTCTAGACCTTCGTTAAACATAGGAACTGTCACCGGAACTTGGCTTTGCACCTGCAGGATTATGTGCCTGGATACAGTATGCGTGCTCACAGAAACACATCTGGCAGCATTTGTCTTTGCATGTGCATACTCACCAGTCATAAGTGGGTCACGCAGCATTTTTAGTCACACATCTTTAGGTGAAAGGCAGTGCAAACGTCTGGGGAACAATGTGAGGGTGGGTGTAGGTGTGCATGATCAAACTTTTCCTATCTTATGACCCCCAAATGTTTTTACAAGATTAGAAAACTTTAAAAGTGGTCATTAAATAAGGAGTGAGTTTAAATCTTGGGCTTTGGAACGAGCTTATAAACAACATGTCCTGACAAATGTAACCACAGAGAGTTCTGAATCAAACAGCCTTTTATTCATACAGACATTGTTTCCTCTCCACTCCCTGTGAAAACAATTTACAGCTCCAGTTACACTTGGCACATTCAGAGTGCCACTGATGTAATGGTGGATCAAACATCTGCCAAGTCCCCCCCCCCACACACACACACACATCTTCGTCCCTCCTTCTCCCTCCGCTCTGTTTTTATTGTTTTCCTGTGTGGTTTCGATAGCAAACACACACAGGGTGACAGAGGGTTTAGCCATCACCTTTTGGCCTGTTGCTCAGTGCTCTCAGCCTCACCTTGTTTGTCCATTACCACTTGTTTATGGTCTACAGTATAATGTGAAGCAATTGTTCCAGCAAGTTGCATGTTTTAATGTTTGCATGAAAGAAAATATAAATCTTGCACATTTTAAAAAAATTAAAGATGAGATTTTTTTAATTGGGTTTTGATGGAGATAAATAAGCCTGACCTCTGCATTTTCTGCTTGCAGCTTCTGTGTCTGGAGGAGAAGCTGAGCCCTCGGGTATTGTCAGCCCTGGAAGAGGACTCTCAGATGAGCAGGCTGTTAGCTTGTCGCTCTCTTTCAGCCATGCTCAGGCTCATAGGAACCAGTCTACATCATGAGGCTCTCAACAAGATTTATCCCGGTAAGTGATAAAAGAAGAACTTTTATGAGCCCGGTCCCTTTTTATTGTCCTTGCCGCTGCATCGGGTGATTAAAAAAAAAAAAAAAAAATCTGTGTAAAGGGGAAAAAGTTATCTGTCTTCTAATGAACCTCCACATTTTATCAGGAAAGCTGCACCCCCTCTGCTCAACATATTCACAGAAATGGACCATGGATAGTCACTTTTCAGTTTATGTGCCCGATGTAGAATAAACAGTATAGACTTTCTGTCTAACAGCAAGGATTTATTAGCCGCAAGTGTAAGATGCTAAAACTGTTATTTCTTTTTTAAATTACTGCAAATCTCACTCCAAAACACACATTGACTTCTAAAGGTGTATAGGTCACTTATCAGAAAACCTGTTTACTATGTCAACAGAGCTGCTGAAGCGTCTGGATGACAGCAGTGAAGAGGTACGTGGGGTTGCTCTGCAGGCTGTGGGCCTGTGGCTGTCCAGCGTGACCAAAGACTACAACCCTGAGCTCTGTGCTCCTCATCTGCAGCTCCTCTTTCAGCAGCTCCTCCTGCATCTGGATGACCCTGACAGCGCAGTGCAGGACCAAGTGCTCGGTGAGATTTGGTGGTTGGGGGTATTTGAAGGGCTTCAAAGGGTCAGTGATAGGTGAGAAGGATGGGGTTATTTCTTCATTTGGCTGTGGTGCTGAGTTCAAATTTGTTTTAGAAATGTGAACAGAAAAGTGCTTTTTTTTTGTTTCAGTATTGACACAGCCTTACTGATTCAACTCATTCAGACAATTAATGTTTAACAGGCTTGTGCACTCTGTTTAATCCAAAATAAAATGTTAGCTTGAGTTTACGATTGTGACTTTATTAGAAACATTATGGGGAATGTGAGCTGCGACGAGAGCAGAGTTTAAGTGTAAAGCTCTGTGGATCAGCCTGTGGTGTCAGACACACTCACACAGGGATGAGAGGAATTTGGGGTGTCCTCTGTCAAACATTAGATTATTCCACAGGCATGCCGCCAACAGAATCCCCTCTCTCTTATTTCAAAAGCTGTTCCTTATTTTTCTTTTCCACTCAATTTATCACCCTAAGCAGCGTGAACAATTTCTCCTGCCAAAATATTTTTAAGTTCATCCAGGACTGGGCTTGTGGGTTTTAGCAAAGAAATACATGATCGGGACATGGTTAAGCAACCAACACAGAGAGTAATTCTATAGGCTGATACGAGTCCCAATATCTGTATGACTGTATTCTTGCTTTGTCTACAAACACTTGATGTAAAACGATGGAGTTGTGTGTGGCCATTCTCTGCATCTTCATTCATTATCCTTCTCTCTGCAACCGTTCCATCTAATGGCAACCACATGCAGGCCCTGTCTCCCCCACTTTGCCGCCTCTCCACATCTGTCTGCAGGCTCATCCCACATAATCCCTCCATCTTTTATCTGCCAGTTTCTCTTCCTCCTCTCCTGCCCTCTGTTTTCTGTAATGATCTGTAGCTTAACGGCTGTGTTTTATTGTCGTACTGGTGGAGAGGCTTTGTTGCTCGTCTTTTTCATAACTGTGTAACTAAGACACTGTTCCTCTGGACTTTTGCTCTCTCCTATTTATCAGGAATGTTAGCTGTCATTACTTCTGACAGGACACAGGTGAGCGCTGATGGCTTAGAGAGGCCTCACGATGGGATCTATCATCTTTGGTGCTCAGAAAGACAAAGGGCGTACAAAGGAGAGAACATTTTTGATGCTCACCAGATGCAACAGTAATCCATACTATTGTAGCATGAAGATGCTACAATGAAATATTCCCTGATTTTTTTTGTTCCACAGTTAGAAACATCAAATCATATATCAGTATTCAGTGATAATTAACCAAACTTATCAATGCTGGTAGTTTATTATTTTAATTTTATGGCAAATATAGTTTTGGGGGGAAAGGTTAGCTCATTTATAAGCTGGGTGCCACTCTGCCTAATTTTCCATACTTTGATGCTACTTCCTTAATTTGAGTAAATTACAGACATTTATATTTACTTAACATCAAATATACAGCTGAAAATAACCTTCATTAACCTCAACTAATGCTTAACTTAGTCCAGTTTGAATAGCTTTTGTTAACACTGACAGTTCCCAGCTGTTTTGGTATAAATATTATTGTGACAGTGGTGCAGTGGTTTGTATTATAGCAACTTGGTAAGAATGTTTTGAGTTCAAAACACTTATTTCTAGTGATTCTGTGTTGTTCCTGAATATATTCAGCTTATTTTCCTCATGCTCAAACTTCAACCATAACCTGAAAACATACATGTTAGGATAACTGAGGGTTCTTTGGTAGGTTTGTTGGTGAGTGTGACCCAGCATGGTTCTCTGTCTTTTAATTTGAGAAGAACTGTGTGGAGTGTACTTTTCCTCTCGCACAATGTCAGCAGAAAGAAACTACAGCTTCCCATGACACAATGGGGTAAGATAGATATTGTTGATGGAAAGAAAATATATTTCCCAAAAATAAAACATTTAAAGTATACATTATTTTGCCAATATTCTATATGCCCAAGATTTACTACTAGTTTTTACTGATAATGAACCAGCAACTAATTATTTCAAGACTGACATACTGCACTTAAATTACACATTTAATCTTTTTTTTTTTCAGGCCATATTTTTATCCAGTATGGTTGTGTCAACTAAGCAGACTGCAGCACTTTAGCTAAATTACTTTTTGTTTAATTTTGAAAATCAAAATATCATCTGTAGAGTGTCATGATCTCATCTTCTTCCATTAATAAAAGCACTCTTCATAAAGTTTGTTGTATTCACAGACAGCTTAGAGTCTTTGTGTGAAATGAGATGAGCTCACGTCTTGCTGAGTGACAGTCTGTACCTGACATTACCCAAATGTGGAAGCATTCCTCCCTCGTGTTCACGGCTCAGTTTGAAGCTTTCCTTTTTTTTCCTCTTCCTACTTCTTCCTTTAATAGTAGGTCCCATTCTTACGCTTCTTGTGTTTCAAACACCTGTCTGTGAAGTGCCTTGACGTCTGCAACATGTCCAGGCAAAATGATGGACATCACTGCCATACCATCCCTCCTTGCCTCTCTCTTCTTGGCACAGGTTTAATTCACTTCTCACAAGCCATCGTTGTTCTCTTTTTATTCGAAATCTCATCCCCTACTTCTATCTCAGCTCAGAAGCGCTTAAACAAAAGCTGAAAACTCCCTCATTCTCCTTAAAGAACAAAGCCAAGTATCATATAATCATTATAATGTGTTTAAATCGTCCAGGGTGACAGCACGTCTCCACTGGAGCAGCACTTTTGTATTGTTGTTTTGTTTTTTTAACCTAACAGCAGTGTAGGGAATTCAATCCGCCAATTAAATCAGCAGATTATGAAAGGGCACTGGCAAAAAGAGATGTAGACAGTTATTCAGGTGTCTCAGTGGGGGAAAAAAACTTTTAAATAGTTGGGTGTATATTAGACTTACAGTTCTTTGCTGCCATCTTCTGGTGTGTTTGTTCCTTCCCTTGTCTCCTTTTTTCAATTTTATGGTTAAAAGCTAGAAACATTAGTGCAGCACTTTATTGAAACGTATAAAAACACAAATATAAATACAGCAAATAAGGAGAAATGGACTTTGTACAATTCAAATCAGCTAACAAAAAACATTTGGTGTGATTACTGTCTACAGCACAGGTTGAAGTTTCATTACATATTCTCCACTGTTTATTTTCTTACGATTGACAATGTGTTTGGAATCAGTGTATTTGCTGTATTCTTCTCTAAATATTTTGTCTTTATTTAAAGTTTATTTGCTCTGAGCGCTGACTCCATGCTTTTTTTTAACTCTGTTTTTGTCTTTATGTGTTCAGAAATCCTGAAGAGTGGCAGCTCGGTCCACCCGGCACTTCTGAAGAGGGAAGCTGAGGCTGTGAGGGACAAACAGCGGAGTCCTTACCACTGTGATGTCCTCCTTCAGCACATCAGCTCACTGTCCACAGAGTCTGCACCAGACAGTCCAAAGTAACAGGAGGAACACTGACTTATTAAATTTATTGTAATATAAAACTGTTAAAATTGAGTGATTTAAAGTATATTTATATATTTTGTCATGTTTTTAAACGTAGAGCTATTTTTGTCTACATTCATCCTGCTATTGAGCTCGATTGTTCTTATGTTGGGTGAAATAGTTTTACGTGTTACTGTAGTTGTGTTCGTGCAGCTCACTTTTACCCTCATAAGATTCTTCTGTGTTCTTGTACTGTAACTCTGCCTGCAACTCAATGAGACAATTTAATTTTCTAAATAAAAATACATTTCTTGCCTAAACTTGTAGAATGAAATGTGTAAATGCAAAGAACATCTAAATTAATCTGAGTTTAGGGAGAGATGAATTGTTCGCAATCCTTGTAGATAACTTTTTATTGTATTTGTTGACTTTTGATTGACATGTTGACATTGAATCTTGTGAACAGATGGGATATTTCTGCCTTGGCATTTTAGGTCGTGGCAAAAGTGTGCCTTTTTTTTCTTAAACTACACCATGGTGGCTACAAAGTAATTAAGTTATTTAATCACATTTGTGGTTTTAGGGTGCCTTAGTTCCAGATGTTTAATGGCTAATGTTTAGCAGAGTTTGCAGGAATAGATGGAAACATTAGCATGTTGCATGTTGGTTGAATATTGCACCTATTTAACTAAAGCTACTTTTCCTTGCATAACCTTGTGCTTTGTTGTTGTTGTTGTTGTTGTTGTTGTTGTTGTTGTTGTTGTTGT